GCAGGAGTCAGCACCTTCAAAATTGGATGGGAGAAAATTGGGGAAATAAGCTTAACTGCTGATAATGATGCTATTACAGTACTTAAAGCAGTGAAAGATTATAGTGCTTAAGGCACTTCTTCTTGAAGTGCAGTGCAGGTATAAATGAATTAAACCAGCTCTTCTGCAGGGTATGTTTTATTAGTCTACGTTTAATTACTGCATTTGTATCTTGATGGGTGGATTGAGTTTATTGAAGTGAGTGTGGGGTTGAGAGAATGGCATGATTTTGTTCAGCTACACGTGGTCAGGTGGCCTTCCGCCACATTGTGCAATGCTTTCAGACAAAATGTGACATTCAACAATGTGATAAGGTGTTATATCAAATGCAAAAGAAGTATAATAACCACAGACTACACATGGAAATGCAGTTACATTTATAGCCATATCTTATACGTTGTACGTGTATAATCAAAAAATTATTTGTATGAAGTTGTTAAATACCAAGTTTATTTCACCTGCCAAGTTTGTGGATCAGCTTTTGGAATACAGTATCCATGTTTATTTTTATACTGCTTTGATGTGCAGAATATTTTGGCAATTCAATGAGAGATCAGCCTTGGGTACAGCTACCACTTGATGGATGAACACACAGCTGTTTGTAAAATAACAGATACATTTTTCTGTATGTTAACTTCCAAGGAGGAATAAGCAGATTGTTTGGGGCTAGGTGCTGCTGGATGCACCAATTATGGACAGTATTATATTTGGGTGGTTTGTTAAAAGCAAGTGAGTAACAAAAACAGATGCCGAAAATGTAGTCAATCGGCATCTGAGTTTGTTTGATGACTTTTATGGCTTGAGCGTTTATCAGGGCCCTGAGGCGTAGCGGAGAGGATGGATAAGCTGAAATGGTGAGAGCAGTGCTCTATGTGACAGTGTAACAGTATGGGTGATTGTGAATGGGCCTGGTGGAAGATGGATGAAACTTAACCTGGATTTACACAAGAAAGGATATGGAACCAGAAGCAGGTGCTAAGAAAATAGATATGTTTGCATTTGCCCACAAAAACCCAGTCACCGTACTTTACACTGAAGTCCTGTGAGATGGGCTACTTACGTGAAAGGCCTAGATCAAATTGCACAGATTATTTTAAAACCTGTTTTAGCAAGTACAAATTCCCGAGCAAGAAGGGATGGGGACAAAAATGAAGCTGAACGTGACACAACAGATTGATGTTATTTGGTGTTCTTCATTCAGCACTTTTGTACCAACACCAGAAGTTGAGACTATAGGGGAGCTCTAGCACTGATTGCTTCTAGCTGAGAGGCAATTGCTTCCATGACCTACCTTTTGAAGAACTAAATTTGGCTCTTATTCAATTTTACCAGTCTAACGCTTAATTACACACATCCAGTAAAATGTTTACTGCTATCCAGCTCCTGCTGATGACTCAGTTGAGAAATCTTGGCGCTAACCTGGGCTCATGGCAAGAATATGAACAACGGAAATACTGAAGACTCCAAAATCTGTATGAAGTTGTTACAGACTGGAAGGCTAGTTTTATTGTTTGGGTTTATTTGGTAATCGATGTTAAACTAATCAACACAAAATGTAACAGGATTTACCACCACAGTCAGCAATACATAATTAATTTCATTGTCGCAGCATACTGCAAGAAATTCTCGTCCATTGTCGTGTTCATTCAGTTTGGGCTGAAAACACTACTGTTGAAATGTGCTTTTTCTTACATTTCACTTTGATTCTGTTGATGACTGGTGGAGTTAATTTGTTAGGCCAGTGTTAGGCTTTTGACATTTTGTTTGAAATAGCATCATAAACACTAGGGATGGAGGTAAGAGAGGGAGAGATCATGCGTTCCACGATGTGTTACATTGACAGATGCTGGGAACACACAAGAGGACAAAAAAAGCATCTTACTGATCACTGGATGACTTTGACATGTATGTAGAGATCAGGGGCAGCTACAATCGTATTGCCTAAACATTGGGCTGTGGAGTTCTGTCATTTAATGATTAGAGTACTCGCCTCGCAAGCGAGAGGACCTGGATTTGATTCCCGGACAGGGTGAAACATTGGTCAAGTTTTCTTACTCCACACCCACACGCGTGTTTACCAAGCAGTAAGTAGGAACCCGGTTGTGAATTGATTGGTGGGTCATTTTTCCGGGGTTAATAAACCCGTCAAAAAAGAAAAAAATAATTATTGTTTTGGTCACTCAATGCATGACTATTTGTGGGGAAACTGCTTTGGGCAATTGGCTGCAGCATTTGGCCCACAGTATACAGTATATTCCGTGAAGCACTTTGAGGACGTTTCCTCAAAGTGATAAGGCGCTATATCAAACACAAGGATTATTATTGTTGATATTGTGTAAACTTGTTCCGGTTAAATTCCTCTACAGCAGCCTGATAGAGATTTTCATTCCATCTATCCAGTGGATTGGATCCCACTAATATGTTAAAGGAGTTTTAAGCCATTTGTACTGCCCGGTGAGAGTTGAGTGCGAGTGAGATTAAGTTCTAAGAAAGAGAATTTGTATGTTCTGCTTATTAAATGCTAGGTAGCTTATTTCTAGCATTACTGTCTAATACTATATGATATCTTTATCACATAAATAGTGAAGAGCTCTGATCCAAATGTAATTATGTACCCAATCCTGGTGATTAGTTTTCTAAGTTAAATATAAGTATAATTGATCATTTTATGTCATCGCAGTACAACCTGAATTGAGACATATTGCATGCACATTCTGTGACATGAAAGTTGCTTTAATTTTCATTTTTTAAGACTCTCTATGAATATTATTAATCCTCTACATCAGCCAAATTCAAGGATTATTATTTTGTGAAACTAACTGAAAATTTTGACATGAGGATTGGATATGTAAAACCCTTCCCATTGCACCTCATGGCACATATACTGCAAGATGCATATCTATAGATCTATATTACCTTGACAAATCTAATCTTGCAAAGGTGATTTATTTGTGCTCGATTTTTTTGACTTCTAATGCTTTCTGGCCTTGCCTCTCCCCCTCAATTGAATGAAATGATCAAATGAGCAGCATCTAAATGTAAAATGTTAACACCATACAACATTTTTTTTGAACCATCGGAACCTGTTCATTAATGCACCTTATGCCCGTTTTAGAAGTTTATAGAGAATAGGAGAGGTAGAGGAAGATAGACCAGTTTAATAAAGACCTCTCCTCTTTGATTGCCTTAATGCCTGAACGCTGTGTCGAGCTGCAGAATCATTTGCAAGCCCTGAATTACTAAATCATATTGATGTAAAGTTATGAAAATCTGACTTTGAAACTCGCTGGCTAATTCCTTCTGTCCTAGATAGATATGGATTATAATGAGCATTAAATCAAAACGACACTGCTTTGCTAAATGTTAATTTTTTCAGAGATTTCTTGTGACCTCCATTAGCTTTACAGCAGATTACCTCTGAATATCTCAGCGTCAAACACACAATGCAGGCATACTAAATGTGTGTTACATAATCCCTTGAGAATAATATCCAACTATCATAAAATTATTTCAGAGCTCTGAGTTCCTTGTGCTGCATGTCATTTTTAACCAGTCTAACTTTCCAATTCCACCTGTTTCAGTTAATTTTGTGCCACTGTTGTAGGAAAATAAATCCCGCTGTTCTCTGTATACCAGGAGTATGGTCGGCATATCAATAGGAGAAAGGGAAGTGAAAGTCATTTATTTAAGTTTATTCAATGATGGACTACTTACAGCTGAAATAGTACAATTGGATGTCAGCCTGACTCAAGAGGTGAGAATGCTACCAAATGTATAAGGCTGACATGCAGACTGACTGGTAGTCTTGTACAAGAACATAAAGTCAGGTGGATATTGTCTGTGTATTGGAAAAGTTGTTTGATGTGAAATGTGCAGAGATTTTACATCAACTCACTCCAACTTAAAAAGTATTCCTCAATGGAGAACCCAAGAGTTCAAAGCAAAGCAACCTCCAGTCTGGCTTACACATATCATGTGGAGGTTTTGCAGGTGCTTCCCATGTCAGCTTGGATGAATTTTTATATAAATATTTTCAATGGTGAGGAAATTGGCTCAAAACAAGATCTTTTGCAAATCGGCCATTTCATTAAACTGCTCTGAAATTTTTACGTAAGATTAAATATTTAGGATGGAATGGCTTAATTTATTTGCACATTTTCTGTCAGATTTTCATTTGTCAAGCTCTCATTTAAAAAAGAAAAGGATTTGTACTTCTGCGGATACACAACATAATGTGTTGTTTCAATGTTACCTCAGTGCTAATGGGAGATGGTGCACTGCCACACTACTGTGGAGTGCTCGTGGTGAGTTCTAGTTCTTGGCCATATGAATAGGTAAAGCGCAGAGCAGGTCAGATTCGTACACGACAGAGACTGTTAAGTAAATTCTCCTCGGTATGTGCAGATTCAAGAGCAGTGCAGAGAGGAGTGAATGCCTGAAAGTGGGACCGAATTTTGTATTGTCCTATTTTGTGGAAAGAAAGAAGTGGAATATTGTCAAATGTGGTATTTCAGTAGAATGTATTTGTGTTTTTGTAGAATACATTCTGCAGTTTATTATAATGAAAATGAAGGTCTCTGGCCCAGATTGTGGAGTCTATTGTCTCTAGCTATTCTTCTTCTTAATTGAAATGCCTTTGGGTAGTTTTTTTTTCCACACCTCTCCATGAATATTATTCAGCAACAGCAAAATCCTGCCCATAATTTGGGATTAATCTAGTTTCCTATAAACCGAGCTCTGTATCAAGAATTGGAGATGTAGTTGTTACAAATATCTTTAAATGAAAAGTGCCTTGGGTGATTCTACCTTTGAATTTATATGTGGAGGTTGAATTCATTGATTCTTATCATACAATTACTTGCTGAAATATGACACTGATTGTAGCATTCTTGTTTCTTTTGCATTATCCTTCAAATTTAGTTTCTCTTTTCTTATTGTACTTTTTTTCTTCTTTGATGCAGTATGCCTCAGCTGGATGTCTCTTGTCTTTGCACCACACGGAAAAGCCAGAACATGAGGAGGTGTGTGAATTCCGCCCGTACACATGCCCTTGCCCGGGAGCCTCCTGCAAATGGCAAGGATCACTGGAAGCCGTCATGCCTCACCTCATGCATGCACACAAAAGCATTACAACCCTGCAAGGAGAGGACATAGTATTCCTGGCAACTGACATCAACCTTCCTGGTGCTGTGGACTGGGTCATGATGCAATCCTGCTTTGGTCACCACTTTATGCTCGTGCTGGAGAAACAGGAGAAGTACGAGGGCCACCAGCAGTTCTTTGCCATCGTTCTTCTCATAGGCACTCGGAAGCAAGCTGAAAACTTTGCCTACAGACTGGAACTGAATGGAAACCGCAGACGCCTCACGTGGGAGGCCACCCCAAGGTCTATCCATGATGGGGTAGCAGCAGCAATCATGAATAGTGATTGCTTAGTCTTTGATACCTCTATAGCCCATCTTTTTGCAGATCACGGGAACCTGGGTATTAATGTTACAATATCAATGTGCTGACTTGCATTGTTATAATACCGCAGTTTACACATAACAATAGAATGTTTTTTGAGTCAGAGGAAACAGTAGGCAGAAGAATGCAGTTCTATATACTTTAAGCACCTTGCCTGTGTAATTGGTGCAAGCCCTTTTGACTGCTCCATGCGTGCATGTGATGGAATGTAATGAAGGCATGCTCAGCACGTGGCTCCAAGCCTGACTAAAAGAAGATGGAAACAATATCACCAAAATCGATCCAATTTTAATGCAGCTGTTTTATAAGTGAAAAGTGATTCAACCTTGTTTTTTTTAAAGGAAAAAAAAACAGAAGTCTTGTTTTCCTGTTTCATGTCTCTTGTAAGTTCATATTACTTGAGCGGAGTTATTCAAGCTATATTTATATACGGGTCCAGTGTATAGAACTACATTATACGCCACAACAGTACTTAAAAATGCAAAGCCAGTAGACGCTTGTGCCTATCTTAATATGCTTCAGGAGAGCAGTATCTCAGTAGCTACTTATTATTTATGAACATCAATAATGTTGAGCCATGGAATGCAGTTGATCTCTCTTCATTGCCATGGCAAAATGGGGTTGTTTGAAATTTTCTTTTGGGTAAAAGGTGTGGTGTAACGTTGTGACGAGCAGAATTGAGGATTCCCATTAGTCTACACAGTTGTGGATAAATCTAGCTCCATCACCATCCACTGCAGTGTTTTTTTAAAAAAATACTTTGTAATCCCAATAGTACCTGTATATCTATTGAATGATTTTTTTTAAAAATAGAAAACCTGACTATAAATCAGTTGTGTAAATATTGATTTCAGTCTCACATTTTTGGGTACTGTTTTCATTATTTGTGTTTCTGAAACATGTGAGAGAAGTTGCTATACTATGTGGAGTGGACACAGGCACATTGCTCAGCTGCTAGACTGCACAGGCACAGGTTTCAGTGATTGAAATGTATCTTTTTTCCACAAAAGAAATTCTAGAGAAATTGTGTAGAGCCAGTCAGTATTTATTCTTTATGATAAATTACAGCTAATAGCAATAACGTGAGCTTGCTGACTTATAAATGATACTGAGTACAGCATTACTCAAAGCATTGTTTAAATCACATTTTTATGTTGGATTTGAATTGAACGAACATGCTAGTGGAACACTAAAGAACCAAGGAAGCGATGAACTATTACATTCTTGTGAACGGGAGTAATTATGTACCTTAGTTAATTGTGCTCAGAGTAGTCGGGGCTGGTCTCAATTTTCAGTATAACAAACTGGGCTAAAAAAAAAGATCTTGATTTCCCATCTCTACCAAGAAAAGATTAACCTGTTATATCCCACCTACCCGAGGCTCAATGAAGTCTTTCAGCCTAGAAAATTGGAGAAATATATGGCTCTTTGAAGGGTTTTGTATCCAGAGCACACATGACCTCAGTAGTTTCTCCATTACTGTTGTGTTTGGACGCACATGCTCACATGGTCTTCTATCCTACGAAACCCAGGAAACTGGGTTTCCATCTTGACAAGGTTTGAAGTTGTTGCCTCATTATCCTCAATATAGAAATGTACTTCAAAATGAAATGCTTATTCGAAAACAGTAACCCTGACGAGTTCAGAGAGTCCTTCAACGCATTTGCTCCTTCCTACCATATCATTCTAGGTGACTTTCCCACTGAGATGTGAAATTGTAAGTTCTTACATCACCACTACTGGTAGTGATGGTGGTGAATTAATTCATTTACATCCGACTACTGTGGATATGGGAAGAATAGAGGAAGATATCTCCCCAAAGTCAACACCAGTGGTTAGGTTTGCTTAATGCAGCCTGATTGTACATGATCATATAGCCCTTCTAGATGATTTAAACGACTGCTGACCAACCTGCTAAGTCAACTTGTTGATGTGCCCCGGACTACTGTCAATGCCTCCTTCACCAATGATCGATGCTAGCACTCACACATCACATCAGTTAGTGTCCCAATTACTTGCATTTTAGAATTCTCCAAGTTTAGCTATTAAAGATGATGGGAAGTGGAAAGCTATTTGCACCTCCTTCATCATTAGATGTCTTGATCTTATTTGTATTTAAAAACAGTGATTACAATATCATTTTGATTGTTGACTGACTACTCACCTAAGAGGAGGCTTATTGTAAGCTTGGTATCTGCTTTCCCCTGGGGAAAATTGCAACTAGCAACCTCTCGTGCCTTCTAAGGTTTGATTTCAAATTGTAAGGTGTGAAACCACTTTTTGCTCATCTCTCTCCAGGCCCGCAACTCAAAAGCTGGCAATTCCTTTGCACCAAGCCTGCCACTTGGCAAGAAATAGCATAAAATGTTTTCGGGTGTGTTCGACAGTGGTTGGTATGAAGTTGCACTATTTCATAAATTCATCAATGATCCTCGGCTTCAGATGCTAGCAATGGCTCTGATATAAGCTCCAATTATATATGCATCAGGGCAATGAAACTTCATTACCACACAGTGATCTGCTTGCAATAATGTGTTAGCTCAGGATATTGGCAATTGACCTGCCCTTTTGTACTTGGAACTTGGTGGGAGATGAAAGGGGGAAAAGTGGACCAAAAATTTCACCAAAACAAGTGGCAGGATAATTCTTAATTCAAGTGGGGATAAACTTAAGAATTAAGAAAGAGCTTTCTCACCCTCCCATCCCAGCAGTTTTATAGACAGTAGGTTATGACAACTTTTTTTTGGGTGGGGGGGGGTGGATAGAAGAGGAAATGAGGTAAGAGAGGTGTTGCAATCCCAGGCTACCAAGTACATGTTTCATGATTGGGAGTGAATTTGAGTTTGATTCCTTTCACTTTGTATTCACAGCACAATCAGCCCATTGACTTGGTGTTTATGTATCAGCCAAACGATGCCCTTACGAGATGCTGCTGTCAGCTTAACCTATATTCCAAAAGAATTCACCCAGTGGAAGCCGCCTACGTTTGCTTTTGGGTTCACATATTTTTCCCCAAATATTGACTGGATTATTTTGGTAAATTTGCTGGAAGTGACTTCAAAGACCCTCTATCAGAATGGTGCAAATGTTTTGTTACTGGGTCTCCAGCCACATGGGGTAAGGAAGTAGTGGAAGCTTTAAAGTACATTGACCCATACTGGACAGGAACCTGATTTCAGGCTCCTGATACTGATGATAGCCACTGCCTTTAGGATTCCAGGTGAGTTGCTTTCTGTGCAGCTCTCCCAACTCCAGTGGCCAAAAGCAATATCGTTCTGTTACTTTACCAGTCTCTGACCATTCCTACGATTCTTCTTTGTGAGCCAGGCAACATCTGGCCTTGGCAGTCATCCATCCGACACACCAACCAAATGGACCAGAGAGCAGCGCATCTGTCTTTTCAACTTGCGTTGCCCAGTGAGCAAAACCAGCAGCTCTCCTAATGACAGACTCCACTGCAGTGATCTGATTTATCGTCCCAATCGGGGTAGCAGGAGAAGAGCAGTAACGTGGTTGAAGCCTCGGCTTTGACGTCCTGGAGAGAACAGTGATGCCATAGGCATTGTAGGGTTGCTATCACAATATCTGGCAGATATAGAAAAACAATGATTCTCTCCTCCAGCAGCATCACCCTGCCCCCACCCCACCCCCATATTGTCTCCTCCTGTATCTTCCCCTCCCCCAGTAGACATTTTATAATGATTCTCCATAATCTTGGGGGACTTCAGTGAAAGCACGTTGGGTGTATTCAGTTGGTTTTGAGATTGTAATATCCTGATATAAGCTGATCAGCAGGTACATCCTGCTCTTCACTTTGCTAGCGGGGCAACACTGAAGGCCTGCACGGCTATTGCTGCCTGTGCCCGCTTCTGGAAGTAACTAGAGTAAATGACAGACCTTCAAGTACTATTTAAACTTCACTGAACGATAGAGGGGTCTATACCTCTGCCTAGCATGATCTTTTTATATTAACGTGGGAGGGCTTTTCTCGCGTTTTTAAATAGTTGTGTTATTAACGAAAGCATATTCCATATTTTGCCGTTCTTCCTATCAGCTGATTTGTGGGGCTTCTGTTTTGGTGTTTTTCAGGTAGGTTTGCTGCATTCTCTTGGAGGTTTGAAAGATGTAACCTATGCAGCCATTGTTATCTTTTAATATCCAATACTTTTAATTGATTTCAAAAACGTTCGGTGATCTGGTTTTAATGAGTTTTATAATTCCTTTTCTTGTCCCCCAATGTTTTGAAATTCTTGGCAGAGTTTCATACTCGAGTGAAATATAAAGAAAAATGGGCATCGTTTGATACGATATCTATGGATATTTGCAGTGTAGCATGGGGGATAGTCAGCCTATCCTTCCAATCTTTCAGACCGAAAATAGAACACTGGTTTCATCTGACCATACGTTGAGTATCAACTTTGGTTGAAAGACTGACAGGTGACCAGCAGCTAGCTACCCAAGGAGGCATTTTAGTTTTATAGGGACAATAGCAAGAGAAGACTGTGTCCTAGGTCATAGTCTCTTACTTTGGTTGTATGATTTAGCTTGCCTCAATACTTGAAATACCTTCATGTAAATATAACTGAGTTTATTAACCTTCCCCTTCCCAGGCACTGATCAAGAATAACCCAACTAAGACCTAACAATAATAACAATACTAGTTTAGTAATTATTCCACCTTGCCAAGGTAAAATCTTTAAAATATACCCAACTGATTCATACAGAACACCAGTCGATGTAGCGTATCGCTTAAATCCGTGAAAATAGTTGGCAAATCAGTGCTCAATTTTGTGTACAATAACATTTTCAAAATTAGGAGTGACCTACTTAGTTCAGCCATTGAGGAAAATGCTGAATTTAACCAGGGTGAAAAAACAAATGAGAATGTCCTCAGTACAGTTGAGTTTTTCTCTGTTACAGCAAGCAGCACATTGAGTATAATTAGTCTGAAATCAAAACCCAGCAGAGGGGCCTATTGCTTTGAATTTTGTCAAACAAGGTAGTTTATACTGTATGAGTTTTTAATTACTTTTTGTAATTAAGCTAATGTGCATTTTTGAATTCAGATACTGTGGATTTCCTGTTGAGCAGGTGTTAACGTTTGTATTGTACGCGTTTTTTTTCCCCAATTTTTGTTTTCTATATTTGTGTTCCTATATTGCCACGTTTTCTTTCTGTGTACGTTTCGCTGTACTGAACAAAGAAATAGTTCTCTGTTGAGAAAAAAATGTTTAATTCTTGTTGTTATTATGAATGGCTGTTAAAACACAGTAAAGCCTAGTTTTGAAGTAACCACTTTTTTAAAATGAGGATGACTGTTCTGTACTAGTATAAAGTAATCTGTTTCTTGTTTTATTTGCTCTGTATCACAATTGCAACAAATTAAAACTATTTACATGGATGTGATATTACAAAGAAGAATCGTTTTTATTTATTCATAAGTCAAACTGTTAATACTACAGTCAACAACAACTTGCACTTGTATATCGGCCTTCACTCGGGTTTGTGTCCTGGACCAGTCAAACCTGTTGAAGCAACCACCTCAATTCAGCAACCACCCTCTGGTAATAACCACCGGGAATAGCCTGGGCACAGATAGAAAACACATCAACGAACCCTTACTCAGAGGCCATCCTTATATAAAGGCCACTTTGGCTCAAAGTGGTTGTCAAAGACAGATTTTATTGTGTTGCATTTTTATTTTCTCTCGTATAGAGGCAATAGTCTTACTATTATAATAATAATCCTTGTGTTTGATGGAGCGCCTTATGTCATTGAAGGTCTCAAAGCGCTCCGCAGAATATACTGTAAAGAGAATTGACTATAATGTTTGTGGGTGAAATACGGCAGCCAATTGCGCAGTCGTGGATTGAGTGACCAAATTATTATTTATTTGTAAGCATTATTACAATAATCCTTGCTTTTGATTCCGCGTATAGCATCTTATCACATTGCCAAAATGTTTTAAAGGACTTAATAAGATTTACTGTAAAGTTGATGACAGTATTTTTAGGCAAACGTGGCTCAGTGGCCATTAAGTGAAGTCAATTTTGCTGAGGGATTTGTTGACCGGGAAACCAGGGCAACTCCTATTTTTTTTCCGAATAATGTCATGCCCACCTAAGAGGGCAGATGGAACCTAAATCTTGTGTTTAATTTAAACTTCAACACTGCTGACAATGCATAGCTACAGCTATGTTTTGCCCACAAAAATACAGTCAGTTCACTTTACAGTATAGTCTGAAGCGCTTTGAGATGTCTCGATGTGATACAACGCTATTATCAAATGCAAGCATTATTGTAGCTCACCCTGGCTTTGCACTGGAACATCATCCTAGACTGAGCCCAACGTCTTAATGTTGGGTTGGAACCCACAACCTTCTGAGGAGACAGCTACCTACTTATAGGTGAGACCTGAGGCTTGGGGACCTCTGTGCTCACAACAGGTGAGGCTGGGGAAAAAACTGCTGTGTGTTTACCAATGTTTGGGGACTTCCAACGCTGGAAAACAGATTTGTGTTCCCTCAGGTTTGGGAAATCGCCACGTTATTGGCAGCCGAGGGTGTGGATGGGTAAAACTGGTATAGGTTTATCAGTGCTTGTTGCAGACTCCCCATTAAGGGTTGCCACTAATTGGTTAAAGACTCAATGTGCTGAGAGATCGTGTACCTAGGATGGAGTCGGCGATTGAGTACAGGGTTGTGGCGGAATTCTTTTGTCAAAAGACAATTCATTCACAAAGCTTCTAGGTGCTAACAAATGTGAATGAAGCATAAAGTACCTTGATTGAATTTTTTGGCCCAACGCATGGAGCTACTGTATAAGTGAGCTTCAGTCAAGCAAAGTGCTTCATTTTGTACTGTGCTCAAGGAAATAAGTTGGAAAGTCTTGAGAGGAGAGGTCTCTTGCTGGCAACAGCAAAATCAAACGGCAAATACAAATTCAATAAACTGGCTTAAGAGGTGGTATGATATACAAAATCTTTAATCATATTTTTCTTAAAATAAAAAAAAAACTGCATTAGTTCAAGTACCGTAAATAGTTTTAAAAGTCTATGTTTTTAAAAAAAACAGGATCAGAAGCTGAGAACCAACTAAGAGTGACTCAAAAGCCAAATGAGTGGTGAGAACAAGATCAGGTAAGAAAAATGAAAGTAACATAAAAATACACATTGTGTTTTTTGTGTAAAGTGGTTCGCTAAACTATTTTAGTACATCAGATTGACACTGGCCAAAGTTTCTGTTTATGGGGGGGACATGGCAGTGAATTTGTGGTTTTTTGGGGGGTTTGGGTGGCAACCTTACCTCCACGCTGGCAGCAGCCAATGGTGGGGCAAAGACTCGGGGTCTCGTCAGGTTGGTAAAATCCGAGTGGGCGAGGCCTGAGATTTGGGAGTCCCTGAAAGTTGGCCCACGTAGTTTTGGTGATCCCCCCCTTATAAGAGCCATAATTCGAGGTGTTGCTCAGTCTGTTGAAAAGTGAAATCTTTTCGAACACATTACAAAGTTGGTCAAATTCATCTTCCTCTGGATTAAGTTGCAGTTGAGCTGGAGTGGTGGCCTTTAGCACTTGAGCTGGAGTGATGGCCTTCAATAGCTGTTGCTTCACTGTATTCCCCGGAGGCCCATTGAACTCCCCCACAGCTGGGTCAAAGGCCACTTTTGTGGGTTCCTTGATTTCAACCCCAGAACGGTTAATGATTGATCTGATGTCCTTCAGGAATTCCACGTTGTGGAGAATGTGTCTTGTCTGGATTTCCACTGTTATTTGGTTGTTAAAAGTAATTTGATTGGAAATTTCCCTCGTATTGTTTTAGATTTTCCCTACGCCTCTTGCTGTCTAAGCTTCTCAATCAGGACTCGCTTCTCCTTAGTCAACTGCTGCCACATAGAAAATTCAGACTCGAGGTTCCTCTGCAGACTCCGCTCGTTTCTTCACTTTATTTTGATTTGCTTCCTCTTTACTCTGATGCTGAGAAAGTTCAGCCAACTGTTTCCTAAGAAATTCCAATGCTTTCTGTACGTCTTGCCTGTGGACCTCAGCAGCTCCTTTAATGGGAGCAACGGTGTGATTGATCCTTGTGATCAGCCAACGTCGCACGGATAGCTTTCTGATCAGTTTCACAAAAGAATTTCAACTTCTCTTCATGTTCCTCACAAAGACGCTGGTCTCGTTCAGGCTCGATTTCGGTTTCATGCTCAGTATCTGAACACTCTCCACCATGTTGGACAACGTTTTTTTGGTCCAAACGCTCCTCTGAAGAAACTGCTCCCTGGACTGTGGACAGGAGACATCTCCTCGCACTGACGCCCAACACTGTAAAATACAGGCTCTGCAGAAGTTGTGGTCACACTCGATTGTCACCGGTTCCTTGTAAAAATGGCTTCGTTTTTCATATTTTCTAGTTCCCGTCCAGACCCCATCTCACTTTAAGCCCGTTTGCGACTTTTAGTTTCACTTAAAACAGGAAGTATCTGTGTGGGTGGTGCTTGTTGACCAGCTCTTGACTCATATCCTAAAGTTGTAAAGGGGATAATGAGTTTTTTAATAGAAAAAATTCTGTGCAAAATATTAGTTCTCACAAAACAACAAATAGGATCCTAGAATTATAATAATAATATTCCTTACATTTGATATAGTCCTTTTCGCATCTTCGAGAGGTCTCAATGCACTTCACAGAATGTACTGTAAAGTTATATCATAGAATCACACAGCACAGAAGGAGGCCATTCGGCCCATCGTGTCTGTGCCGGCTCTTTGAAAACAGCTACCCAAATCAATCCCACTCCCCCTCTCTCCCCACAGCCCTGCAAACTTGTCCTCCCAAATAATTATCTACTTCTCTCATAAAAGTTGTTATCGAATCGGCTTCCACCATCCTTTCAGGCAATGCGTTCCACATCCGAACAACTCGCTGTGTGAGAACATTTCTCCTCACCTCCCCTCTGTTTCTTTTAACAACTATTTTAATTCGGTGTCCTCGGGTTACCGATCCACCTGCCAATGTTTCTCCTTGTTCACCCGATCGAATCCCCTGTTAATTTTGAAAACTTCTATTCAGTCTCCTCTTAACCTTCTCTGCTCCAAGGAAAATAATCCTAACTTCTCTCGCCTTTCCTGATAACTGAAGTCCCTCATTCCTGGTACCATCCTGGTAAATCTCTTTTGCACTCTCTTCAATGCCTTGACATCCTTCCTAAAGTGTGGGGCCCAGAACTGAACACAGTCTCTCGCTGAGGTCTAACCAGTGTTTTATAAAGGTTCATCATAACTTCCTGACTTTTGTATTCTATGCCCCTATTTATAAAGCCCAGTATCCCGTATGCTCTTTTTTAACAGCTTTATTGATCTGTGCTGCCACCTGCAAAGATTTACTTATATGAACCCCCAGGTCTCTCTGTTCCTTCACCCCCTTTAAAGATTGTCCCATCAGCTTATATCGCCTCTCCTCATTCTCCCTCCCAAAATACATCACTTCACATTTCTCCACATTAAACTTCATCTGTCTGCCCATTTTACCAGTCTCTCTATGTCTATTTGCAGTCTGCTACTATCCTCCTCACTGTCTACTACTTTTCCTAGCTTAGTATCATCTGCAAACTTGGAAATTGTACTCCCTACACCCAAGTCCAGGTCATTTATAAAGATCAAAAACAGCAGTGGCTCCAAAACTGACCCCTGGGGGACACCACTGCACACTTCCCTCCAGTCAGAAATACAGCTGTCCACCACAACCTCTGCTTTCTGTCTCCCAGACAGTTCTGTATCTGCTGCCACTGTTTCTTTAATACCGTGGACTTCTATTTTGCTTACAAGTCTCTTATGTGGCACTTTATCAAACACCTTTTGAAAATCCATAGAAACTACATCAACTACACTATCTTCATCCACCCCCTCCGTTACTTCATCAAAAAATCTCTATTAAGTTTGTTAGACATGATTTGCCTTTAACAAATCTGTGTTGGCTGTCCTTTATTAACCCATATTTTTCTAAGTGGAAATTAATTTTGTCCTTGGATTATAGTCCCTAGAAGTTTCCCCACCACTGACATTAGGCTGACTGGCCTGCAGTTCCTGGGTTTACCCTTCTGCCCCTTTTTGTACAGGAAAGTAACATTTGCAACCCTCCAGTCCTTTGGCACCACCCCGGTGTCCAAGGAGGATTGAAAGATTGTGGCCAGAACCTCTGTTATTTCCATTCTTACTTCCCTAAGTAATCTAGTACTCACCGTGTACTACATTAAAATAGTGTAGTAGTGTAGCTAACAAGGGCTGCACTCCAATCAGGCTTGTTTGTCCCACAAATAGTCATGAATTGAGTGACAACTATTTTTTTTGATGGGGTTGCAATCTGCCAATTGATTGAACAACCTGGTTCCCACTTACTGTTAGGTAAACCGA